CTCTCATTTATTCCCCTTTACCTACTAAGGTGACACTGTTTACATGTTTTTCTTACATATTGTTGTATTAACTCCTCACAGCACCATATTGGCTGTCTGGTGTTAGGGCGGCATGCTGACATTTAGTGGTGATAATATTCATGAGGGTGTGGCCGCCTCGTGAGCTCCGTGTCTGCATATTCAGAGAATTGCTTTGGGTGTGCCGAAGTCTCCAAGCTGCCATTTCCAGAATCATTACGTTTGAAGTACACCCAAGGAAAATCATAGAAAAAAAGATTTGAAAGCTTGCCATTTATGTTTTGGCTTGAGTTTTGCTTTTATAAATAGGCAACAGTGGTCAAACATATTGAATAATTAACAACCCTTTTAAAAATATTGTGGCACACAGATATTTTCAATCCCAATTATGCAAAAAAAAAGGAATAACGTTTTTAAAACACATGTCAAAAACATATACTCAGGAGAAACATTTAAAATTCATGATTTCATTTAATGTGGGATGAGATAGAATACATGTATTGCTTTAACCCAGAAATAAGTGTTTTGAATAAAGATACCCTGAGGAGTTTTCTGGTAAACATGTTTTTAATGTTACTCACTTTATAAACACGTTGAACTAATCAAACATTCGCAAAGACACTTATTTTAATATTATGATTTCTGGATTGTTTCCATCAATATGTTTTATCTTGAAGTCTCTTCGTTGCATTTTCAGGCACACAACCACGTTTACCTGCGCATTACCACCACCAACTGTTGAGCAGTGAAATAGCTTTAAATGAGAAGGATGCCATAAGTGTACGACTCATGCATGCATGCACAAAACAACCTATGTCCTCAAAATATTAAGAATTATATTGCATGTCACTTCCTCAACTTGGGATGAGGACAAATTGTGTAACAGAAAATATTGCTAAAAATGTCACAAATATCATTTTAGTATTCTTCCGAGCCACTAGGAAAGTAGACTCATATTTATGATGGGAGTTAATTATTATTTTAAATTATAATTGTGGTAGGAGAGATGCACTTTATAAACCGTACAATACCAGCAATAGCAGCTGAGCATAAAGATAGAGGGGGAAGAATTTCACCCTGAGTGAGCCTGTAAAAGTTGTTGGAAGAAGCAGGAGGTAAATGCTAATTAGCTCGGCCAAGGAGGTCATATTATCGTCTGTTTATTGGTATTTTTGTTGGAGGGATTTTCATTAAACTTAGTGGAAGGCTGTTGCACTGGCCAAGGAAGAACCTATTACATTTTAGAGCTGATAACAAAGGGCACATACACAAATTATGTTTTACTTTAGTTAACATTGCATGATTCATGTGGTCAGAATAACCGTAAAAAAGAGTTCCCTATTTGGAAAATTCACATGAATCGACTCTCAAGTTGCAACAACAGCTAGTAAACAGCTTTCATCATGTTGTTTAAAGGTTTTGACATATAAAATATCTTACAGTCCATTTTGTTTCCACATTACGATTTAGAGTTCATGATCATACCAAAGTTGGAATAACTTCTTCCAAACTCGGTAATTGGGAACATTGTCAGGATCATGTGAATGCAACACTGGCCCCGACGAGTCCCATTTTAGTTCTTAAAGTATCCAACTGATCCCAGAAAGATGCTGCACTCTAGGTTAAACAGTCTAAATAGGGCCTTAGTGGACACAGGCATGGTAGCGGGCGGGAATGGGTGGTGTGCAGAGGAAGGGATAGTTGAGTCAATATTTACCCAGAGTAATTGGTCTACACTTCCCCCTGCAAGATACAGAGACGTCCAACGTCATCCCTGCCTTATCTCCTCCAGTTCTCCCTCACACACCCACCATGTGACCACAGTTGCACACAGCAGTATTGTGCAGCTGTGCAGAATGCCCCGAGATATTCTCAACATAATAGTTAAACGCATATATGAAGGAGTGAGTCGCTGTGCATTGAAACTGTCATGTCCATTAAAGTTATCTAGGTGACCTTGGGAGTGTTGCAGTGCCCACAGAGAACCTTTGTGCGTTATTATTCTGTTAACAAGCTCACAGAGCAGTCTGTAATGAGCTGTGCAGCCACACTTACTGTGGTAATGAGGTGGGCATGTTGTACCTCAACGTTGAACCGCTGTACTCTATGATAGAATGACAGGTAAAGCAATAAGATGTGTCGAGCCTGCTGAGGAACTCACAACCTGGATGCAAGAAGTGTTGCAAATAGTTGCCATAGGTGGTGTCAGAGACTCATGGGAAAAGATGGGCTGTCTGCTGCTAACCTTCTTTATTCATTATTTCAGCCGTTTCTCAAACTCATACAGCACATAGTGTCCTCTCTCTGCTCACTCTCTTTCTCAAAGCAACTCTCCAATTAACCTGATGTCTCTCGAACCACCGGCGCTTTGAAGGGACTCCACCTGGCTTCCTCCTATCCTTGCTCTTTGTGGGTCTGAATGGAAATGGAAATGTTTTTGTTTATTTGTTATGTTGACATTGAGTGGCCCTAACTCTAAAGAATCTGAGGCACCGCTGTTGAGGCTGCTTAAATAAGACCAAAAGAAACCGTTTGATTGTCAAAGCACCTTAAAAGGGAGAAGTGCCTTCCTAATGGTGCAGCACAGCAAATAGCATCTCGCCGCTACTGTGCAATTTGCACATATTCAAAGGAAATAATGTGAATAATTTTCAAAAATATTTTTCAATTTTCTCTGCCATTGTTCTGCATAAAAGGCTGCACATCTTCGGTGTTGAATTAAAACCCACCTGTTTTGACTGTACCTTGGCTGATCAAAACAATCAAAAGTATGATGTATTACTTACAATGGTTTGTCTTATTGAAAATGAATGCAGCAGCTCTTCATTGTGAATGCACATGTTGTACGTTTCTTTAGATACAAGTGTCAGCCAATGAAATGTACCGGTAATGTAAAAAGGACCCTCTAGATATATAACAAAAATATGTGTAACTAAGAAATATTGACACTTTTAAACCCCCAAAGTAGCTTTTATCTTGAAAGAAAAAGCCTTGCATTACATACCATATAAAAAAAGAAGTCTTATAAAGCTGCTTAAAAGGAGAGTCATTTTGAATTTGCAGTATTTACCTTTTATATGAGAGGTATACTTCTGTGGTAACCGTGTCATTGTTCCTCTCCCTCCATTTCTCTCTGAAGTGTGCAGCTCTAACTCCCATTGTCAAAAAGGAATGAACAAACAAGGATAGGAGGGGAAGAGCCAGGGGAAACGGTGGTGTTTTCTCAGATAGATAAAACAAAATCGAGAGTTGGTCGTGTTCGCACATACCTGAATGGATGTTTATATATCTAACAGGCTCACTGTGGCAATTTGCTGTCTACAAGAAATGGTGTCTGCTACCATTGGGATTGGTGTTATTCTATTTACTGAGATATTATACCACACAGGCGACACTATGAAGCGGGCACCAACAGTCTACTATTTGTTTTTAAAAGCAATCCCTATGCATAACAATTTTTCATTGCATGAATTCATCAACATTTTCATTTGGCGTCTCCTCCCACCATAGAGAAATGAAAATTGGACCGCTTTCAAGTCCTCATAAATTACAAGAGTCTTTTCTCCGTATCACTCACTTCCCCTTCTGTTTATTGCAAGAGACAAAAGAGGGGTTTGCATCATCCCCACTGAGGATCAGAGGGCTCGTGCTGTCTCATTCAAGGGAGTAACTCTATACTGTTTCTACAACCTGCTGCGATACAAGCAGGAGAGGGGTGATGTAAGAACAAATGATATCCATGTGTCAGTTACTCATCTGTACAGAGAGAACGGGCTACATCTAGTCAGTGAATATCAACTAACTGCGAACCATGAGCTCTGGTTATGAATTCAGACAACATTCAAAGGTCAAAGCTTGCTCTCAATTTCTACCGTCGTACAATGGATCCCTCAGTAATGAATACTGCCTTGCCGAGAATGTAATGACGAAATAGAGAAAACAAACCCTGCACTAAGTGAACACATTCATCTGGTTTATTTTTAAATATTGAGAGAACAGAAGAAGCACCTTCTCCTTAAACAGCGTTATAGCACATTGTATTTAATGTCTTTACATCCCTATGAAGAGTGTTTCAATGGTCAGTTAGTAAAGGTAATATGGATGTAACTGTTCAGTGTAGCACCTTTTATCATTTTCACACCGCTGCTCTTTCAAATTGGAATCATGTAAGAAAGGGAGATAGTTTATAGAGTAACCCAATCAGTCAATTTACTGGTTAACCACGCTGTCAATTCAGACTTACAGGTCCACACCTCTTGGCAGCCGGTACTCCTCCTGCGTGTAATGAAGTGGCCTACACCAGCTGAGCCCAGTTTCAGCACCGCAGCATGAAAGTGCCCCCCCCCCTGCTCTGTCCGGAACTCCTCATTACCGCCCTATAGTTTTGTTTACGAGCTAAACTCTCCACTGCATAGTGTCAAACCCCAGCCAAAAGGCCATGTTTCACATTCCAGCCCATTATACCACAGCTGCACTGCGTCAACCAGGACTGCCCGGAAAGCAAGCTCGGGGCCCATGCTCTCTGATGATTAAGTTTTATTTGAAGTCTGTGTGTATCTGTGCATCTGTGTCCAAGTCGTAAATAAGGGCTTTGCTTATATGTGTGTGTTATTTAGTGTTTGGTCCCCTATCTGCCCCCATTTAAGATAGTGCCCAGCTCTTTATGTTATGCCCGCAATGCTGTAAACACTGAAACAACATCCTCTGCTTTTGTATTCATAAGATCATCCTCTGTTTATTTGCCAGCAGATAGATATAGCTTTTTAAAGAGAGCCATTGCCTTGAATATTTTCTTCCGAGCATTAGAGGATGGATATAATACAGGTCTTCTGTGTTGATGAGCATTGCTCCAATGCAGCAACCCGCCACCTGTTCAATGTCTTTATAGAGTGAGATTTTAATGTCGCTGTCTTCTTGTCCTCCTCTCTCTCTCTCTCTCTCTCTCTCTCTCTCTCTGTGTCATTCTGTCTTTTATCAATCAGAGAGCCAGTCGCTGCCAGGGAACAACTTCACCACCGAGTGCAACATCCCTGGAATCTTCATGTGCAGGGATGGGAAGTGTGTCCCAGGCGGGTGGCAGTGCGACGGATTACCTGACTGCTTTGACAAGAGTGATGAGAAAGGCTGTCGTAAGTTCCCTTTCACACTTCATTATCAAATGCTTTTTTTTCAGCTGTGGCTTAAGGCAATATAGCCAGAAAGCCTATATTCAGAGTCACCTCATGTCTCCTCCACTCCTGAACTCTGCCTCTCCCTCTTGCTACCCATGGAGCCATAAGGGCCGTTTAGACTTAATTATTTGCCAACTTAAATGAACTTCCTTCCTCCATCCTCCCTTCTCCCCCAAAGCGTGCACCCGTCCTCTTCCCTGCCAGACTCACGGCCCCAGTTTAACACCAGGGCAAAATTTAATATCATCAAAGCAAAGGCCGATTACTTGTGCTTGCAGGAATAGTAGCCCACGCATAATTCTTCTGTAAGGCTCTAGTAATACTTCAGTTTTGATCCTCACTTTTAGTTGGCTTTGATCTTTCTGGTCTGCTGCTCCTCCTCCTCCCCATCCCGCTGTAGCCGGAGCTCCACACAAAGATGGGATTGCTGATGAAGATTGACTTTGAGGCCCCGCCGCTCTGAATGGAAACCCCCCCTCCCCCGATATATATTCATCTCTTTAACTGCATCGCACTACCATTTTCACTCCTCTCTGCTCCTCCATCTCATCAGATGATTTTTGGCTTTTGGCTTGTAATTTGCTTCACAGACGCTTGTTTCCAATTATAAAAGCATAACCATTTTCCTGGAGAGATTCTTTTTTCCTTTTTTTTACCCAGCTAAATCCTTGCCAAAAAAAATCACATTAGGTTTGTCCTCAATTCTGTCACCTCTCTAATTTTCTGCTTTTCTCCTCATCTCCTCCCCCATCAGTCACTTCTCTCACTGTTCCCTATTGTTGGAAGCTCAAGGAACAGGCAGATTGGTCCTAAACAAGTTGTGTCCCATGATACACACACATACAGACACACACTAGCCCACATTCAAAGTTAAAGCAATCAGTCTCTTAAGTTTGTGATGCCTTGGTCTTATTACGTAATACATACATAGGAAACTTTTTAAGTGCTGTCCTGGACAATGTTCATCAGTACACCTCTGCTACTGACATCCCTGTTACTTAAAACAAAGTCTCACACTGTATAGATGGATGGACTCTGTGCCCCAGATTCTCAACACTCAATGGCCTTAAACTGTCAGCCACTGTCCAACTTGGAAGAAATAATGTTCTCATGCATTGAGACAGAATTAGATACATTAAGTGCTCCTGTTTCATCTAATCACACAGTCCGTGCGCCAGTTTGTAACACTCAAACTCACCTCCAGTACTTTAGCTTTGAATCTACGGACAAGCAAGACTTTTTTGTCTGTCATTGACACGACATGCTTTGCCGCTACAGATAAAAGCAAGTTATCATACAGCATCACCTAAGCCTGCCTCTCCAGTTGTCAGAGGATTATTTGTGTTTGTTGTCAAGATGTACATTATCTGCTTCGGCATAAGTGGGCCCTATTATTCTCAAATAGATGGCTAGTTGTCATTCGATATATCCGGCGAGTGCTTTGTGAAAATCCCCAGACAAAGCTCTGGTTCCATTGGGGCTGTGGGACAGACAGACAGGCGGAGAGAGGGGGAGGGGAGGGAGTCACGGAAGGAGGGGAGGTCTAGAGGAGGACTCATTATAGCTGCTGCAGCAGGAGTTCTGTCTGGATGTTTATTGTCTGAGGAGAACACAATGCCTGAAAGCTTTGAGACCGCAGTACTGGAGTCTCTGCAAATAGTGTCATAATTAGGCACCCCCCACTAAGACAACACACAAACTCCCAGTTATATATATAAATATTTAACAGAGGGAGATGATAGATTTGCAAACTTGAAATACAGTTTGTTGAAAGAACTTATTCTCCTTCTGTCTGAGCTATATGAATATTGTTTCAATGCAGACTCCTCAGAAAATCTCTTTCAGTTAGTGACATAGAGCGGTGCAGGAATGAGTCCTAAAACCCGAAATAAGTTGGCATTTTAACACTTCCGGTTCCCTCTTCCAAAGATCTATGTTTTTTTAAACATATTTATGGTTAGATGCCTGAAATAAAGTCTGTGGTTAACACGAGTTTTTCATACATGAAATACGTCAGTAAATGCCCCAATCGTGAATATTAAAAGCTTCTACATGTCATAAGAAACAGTGGTTGCTAACAAGGGAATAAATAAACTACTGAACGTCATCATGCCTTTAGCTTTGTGGTGGTGATGTGCATCCATGGGACCGTGATGTGGTTTGTTTATTGCCTAACGTTCACTTTTTTCTTCCGGCGATCAGATTATATCTCACAAATCACAAAGTGATGCTTATTGGTTAACATTATCCTGATGAGTGAAATGTGTTATGTCTCATAAACATGTGTTGCAACAGAGCTTATTTTTCTGCAATATTCCAATATGCAGCAAAAGAATCCCATTGCTTTCTGCCGAGGGACCCCTTGCGTTGCTAACTTTGGGGTCAGCCTATAAAAGACGTCATCACTGCACCATTCTATTATTGTTTTCACACAGACTTTTCTTATAAATAACTCGGTGCACCTGCAGATGTCTGCCCACTGTCCGTCGCAATACAGTCATTACCATAGAGGCTGAGCAGGGTTGACAACCCCAGGATATTACATTTCCGTCCATCTGTAATGGGAGCAGGTGGCCGCTGTCAAGAGGTTTCTAAGAACATGTTTCTTTAATTAATTTGGATGTGTGTGTATTTTTTTAACACTTTGACAACTTGTATTCTTTCAATAGGGATGTTTTGAGTGCCCAGGGATGAGAGCAGATTGAACACAGAGAATGTGTGTGAATACAGTATATACAAGTACTGTATCTATGTTTTGCTCATGGGCCAGTCTACCTTTTTGACCACATATCATTGCACCAGAAGACAGCTAAAGTTAGCGATTAGTTTCCCTGTAAGCCCACGCTCTTCAGCCAGCACATTGTGCTCATGTGGGTGTCTCTGATCCAAGGAATATGTATGCAGAGCTTGAGGTAAAGGTCATTTTATATGTACTAAAACCTCCCTTGTGTTTCGTTAATGAGAATTTGGTTTTTGTTTTTAGCTCCATAACAAATGTATATGGATTTGGAAAGATCAATTATTTTTTACGCTGTATGACATTTGTTGAAACTTGCTCCCAAGACCGAACCACCCACACATGACTTACGTCTGGCAGATTTTCCTTTTTTTACCAGCAGAAAAAAACTCCTTTGTGTCTTTTTTTGTTGACTGGACTGAATTTACTTTCCAGTGCTATCTGTGGGTGTGGAAGTTTAGAATAGAATCACGAAAACCTGGCCTGCCGTCGCTTGCCTCAACTCTTTATTTATTTATGCGCTTTAGATGTGTCCCAGTCTGCTACGCCTCATAGGCCAGGAATGGTCTCGAATGGTCAGGGGATGGTTTATTTTGCTAGAAAAGGCATGCGTATTCCTTCCTACCAAGCCCCAGTGCTCTCTTGTTTGTTTTTTCCTCCGGTCCCCTATAGCACACGGGTCAACTTAAATCATGTAAATACTTTTTCTGTAGCTCTTTAATAACATTCTGGGCTGAGAGAAGATACGCAATATCTCCAGCCAAAGTCTTATTGCATTAAAGACGCAGCTTATTGTATTACTGTCCTTCTGTGCGTAGCCAGTACTCCCCTACAGATTTTTTTAATCAAGTCCAAATCTTTTTGTATGTAACCTCTGCTTTGAAGCACATAACTGAATTTTAGATGAAAACATTAGAATTTTTGAACATCTGCTCTATGAGGGTGTGATACGTATATATGTGTTGGCAGGTCTGAGGGTTTTTTCTAGCAGTGATTCAGAGATAGGCTGCTGACTAATTCCTCACACAAAGAGGTCAAAAGTACCACCCTGCTCTCTGGTGTCCATAACGACAGCCTGCGAGAGTGTTAGACCAAATGGATCCTGACAGAATGTAGAAGGAGGAGAGCCGGCGGAGCTCACTGGGCCTCAGAGCCAGGATTAGCCTCTTTGCCCTCGTCTGGGCATGAGCAGGAAACAGGGAGAGATGCGTGGTGGGGCCAGAGGGTGAGTGGACATGATGTGTAAAGCAAGAAGGGGGGAATCAAACAAGGGGGAGAGAAATGCACTGGGAGAGAAAGAAAACACAGAAGAGCACATTTCAAAGAAAATGACTAAACTAGTGGTCCTGCAGGCTGAGGCCGTGGCCTCTCTGAGGAGACATTCATTTATTCACAATTCTACACCAACAAATGTTTTGAAATGTCAACGTTCACTCTGCTTTTAACAAAAAGGGACAACAGCAAGCCCCGGGGCTTTAAAAGAGCATGAATCAGAGAACATCAGCCACACTGAAGGGCTGCTCGTGTCATCATATTCAGCTTAAAGTCAATTTGCATAAACACTAATTTGATCAGGCCACATTATCTGTAAATAAAATGTTCCCAAGTAGGATGACTAATAGTTGAAACCTCCTTTTCTTTAAAGCACGGTTACCAAACGGGTGGTCAAGACCCACTAAAGCTGTCGCAATACAAATCTGACGGGCTAACAAGATGATCTGTCTAGTCTGCTTTATTTAATCTCTTTCAGATGCACATAAGACAACAAATTGGAGACCCACACAGAGGGCTGGTGTTTTGTCAGTTTGTTAAAAAGTCTTTGAATACTTCATAACAATGAGGGATATAACAATTTAGAGTTTTCATTATCTGATGCACTGTTTATTGATCCTGTTAGCTCCTCACGACATTTGAAGTAAAATGACTCCAGTTTAGTGGATTACTGTAATATTATCACATTATTGCTCTCTGCAGTGATGCCAAGGCCTGGAGCTTCATCAAAGGAGCTTTTTGTTTTTTTGATCTACTGACCTACAGGAAATACCCACAAGATATTCAGTTCAAAGAAACCGCTAAATGCTTATCAACATAAAAGCTATCTTTGAGAGTAGGGAAATAGCTCAAAAGACTCCTGAGACAGATGAATTAGATATCAAGGCTCATTCTTGTGTAGGGAAGGTGTTGTTAAGATTAAGAGTGTGTGCTTATGTGATAAGAACAATGTCCAATGCACTTACATGAACTCAAAGAGTCATATACACCTGACATATATGTTGTTCACTGTCTTCTGGGTATGCTCTGCTTCATTGTGCATGGGTGTTCTTTGCTCTGTGAGTGTGTTAATATTTGTGTGGGTGTGTACATTTGGGAGCACACTGTGGAAGAAAAATCAGGTGGGATTGAAGAAGTTTTAGAGACATAAACCTGGAGCACATCTTGGTTTGAGAGTGTTTATTTTTAACCCAACTCTAAGTCAAAAAACTTAAAGGCAGTCAAAAGGTCAGAACATGGAGAGAAAATGGGGCACTAATAGCAGAAAGTCTGACGTGTCCCATGCCCTTAATGGCTGACTGATCAATGAGCTGCTGTAATTAATAGCAGGGATGAAATATTGATTAGGTACTTACATACAGGCCCTAGCCACACGGAGACGGTAACGAAAACGAACCGAATTCGATATCAAAAAAGTCTTCCGTCCACACGCAATCTGCACCAAAAACGTTTCCGTCCACACGAGACCGCTCGACCCGCTGGAGACGCTGTAGTACATATGCCGGGCCTGTAAGTGGCGCTGTACTTCCACCACAAAATACACCAAAAGCAGCGAAGAAGACTTCACGAGCATGCATGGTTGCCCTTCTGTTTATTCTCCGCGGTGGATTTAGCAGCAGAGGTGGGGAGAGGCAGGGGCCAGGGCTCTGGCTCTTTTTCTCCCTCCTCGAGGCAAGCGTGTGCTCCTGCTGTAAATCTCTCAGGTAGTCCACCAGCAGATGAAAAACACCCACCTCTCCGCCTCTTCCAAGGGACGAGGGAACCGTGCTGCAGAGTTTCCGTCAGAATTTTTTTCCGCCGGTCAAAATCATCGTATGGCCCGTTTGGCCCCCCAGAGCGTTGCGTCCGCAGATCTACCCACCTTGGGACCCGTTATCGTTATCGTTATCATTATCATTATCTGCGTTTCCCTGTCGGCTTCGTGTGGCCGAACCGTCTATATGATAGAGAACTGTAGCGGATACGACCCGTATCATCTCCGTGTAGCTTCAGCCACAGTCTCTTTTAGACTGAATGCTATCCAATCGATAGTCAGGAATTAGGCAAAATGATTGCTTCGAAATCTTCAAAAGAATAAGAAATGCAGCCTTATGATTTTATCACAACGTTGGCCACTTCTATTTCAAACAAGGGGATTTTAGCAGCATTGTGCTTTCTGTGGTGAATATTGCAGCCAGGCTATTATCTGGCAGATCACTTGCTGCTTCCTCACTGCCCTTGCTTCCCTCTCTTTTTATCTGGAGTTGTTGAAATATCCCTGATATTGTGCACATTCGCCTGCTGTAAGGTATACTAGCCGCACTTTCTTCCTCATCTAACACAAAGTTTGATGGCTTTTCATAATGCCAGTGGCCTTTTAAAAGCTTGGCCCTTCAGATGAATGTAGCAGCTCTATAATGTTGCAATGCCTCTTCCTACACACAGAAAGCCATCATAGTGTACAACCAGCATGCAGACAGTGAAATGTACGAAATGATTACTACCCTTGCCCTTCTTGCTTACACCCTGACTCCATTACCTATTGATTTCCTCCCTTAGGAAATTATTCACAAGGTCAGAGAAACCTTTGAAGTCCTCAGCTGTCTCCACTGTTGCGTAGCCTCGATCTGCTTCCACTCACTCTACCCGCACTGTTTTCTTTCTTGTTACTCTATTCCTGCAGTCTTTCTCCTCCCACTGTCAATCATGCATGCCCATCACGACCAAGCCAACCGGTGCCGAGCAAGTTATTCTGTTCTCCGGGGAATTGGGGAGATGTAAGGGAGGCGTGCGGGGACGGCCAGAGAGGTGCATATTTGGGGAAGAGCAAATAAAACTATCTTCAACAGGAGCTATGCTGTCAGATTCAGCCTGACATGACTTTCAAAGCCACGGGGCAAGATGAAAACGTCAAAGAGAAGACAAACAGTAGTAGTCTGTTTTAACTCATCTTAATTCATCAAATGAGTTAAACCCAAAATATTCCATGATGCTACAGTCTGGCCTAGATTTGTTCTTCCTTTGAAAAGAAACATGTGCGCTTTTTTATTATTGTTCCTAGAGGAGAATGAAATACATATTTATAGAGAAAGTACAGTACAATGCTCTTAATTAAAAGAGAGGGAGAGGGTATATTTATCTTTGTCTTTTCGTGCCTTTGTTTGTGTGTCCCTCCATCTGTTCGTTGCAGTGAGATCCAGCCACGTTTTTCTGCTAGTGATAGTCTTACCTCAAAGAATCGAGCTCCACTGCTAACCTCATTCGTTTTCATTTGTGCTGCTCAGCTGAACACTGAAACTAAGTTTGGAAGCTACCCAACATTCTGTCTGCCTTTTCGTAAACAACTTCTACAAAGGCTCAGAGAAGAGAAGGAAAAGTTGGCACGAATGTAATGCAGTTCAAACCTAGAAACAGAGTGACGACAGAAGGGAAGACGATGGAATAAGGCAGTGTCAATAAATGCTGAAATGAATCAGCATTGCCTAAATAGGAAGTCCCACACCTAGAATCAAAACTGGAAACCTTCACAGGAGCATCAAAGGAAGCATAACAAGTTTGTTTCGTTCGCCCTCAACTTGCTCTTTCTAATTAATTTTCCTCTTCTTGCTCTGAAAACTGCTTTGCTCAGGCTATAAAGGGACACCCATCCCCAGAATACAGCGAAGCACATTAACTCTATCCCTGATTCTCTTCCACCCACAAATCTCCTCTCATGAGCTTGCCCTTCATGTGACTTTTTAGCTAATTTGGAACACAAACACTGGGTCAGATGAATCCTGGTGATGAGGATTTAGATGAGGGAGGGAGTGAATGAGGAATCTCAGAGCAATAACAGAGTTGTCCGTCTAGACAAGCCCGCCAACCAAATGGAAAAAGAGCTGTGAGGATGATCTGTCTATGCATAGAAGAAGAAATGTTTGCAAACACTACAAATCAAAGGGATATACAAATGAAATAGATAGTATCATAATAATTGTATTTATTTTATTTATAGCCAGATTCATTTTAATATACCCATCCACTGCAGTATGTTTATGTATATTGTCTTTTATGTGTTGCTACAGCCCTAAGCTGTGTCTGTTTTTCTCCCTAGAATGGAATGAATGTGATATACTGCTTAGCTTTTGGTGCTTTCGGGCCTCTGCTTTCCAGGTAAACAAAGGTTTCCTAGACTATAGATACAGGAATCTGGCGATATCACAGCTTCCTCCCGCGTTCTGCGATTACATTTCATCCGGAGACATTCCCTCCAAACCCTCGTGGTTGTTATGCCATGCCCTCCCTCCTCGCTACACATAATCGCCGCAGCTTGAAAGAGCTCATCAATCAGCCTACCACAAATATATTGTAGAGGGAAAAATGTGCGCCACTGGCATTTGAGACGGCACAATTCCAACCTATGAGCGGGCCAATTCAACCCTTTGTATTCAGTAGAGTGAAAAAACAGAAGACTGGTTGGTGGCTTGCTTTGGGTTGCCTATGGTGTGCCCACTCACTCCTCCACTCTGTGTGTTTCAGTGTTTTAATTGGTAGCTTTAACCTTTCCAAAAAGTGTGATAACAACAGTAGTGGCTCCAACACAAAGCCACATGTACAGGTTAAAGCTCTGGTATTATTCAAACTACTGGAGAAACAGAGATCTGATAGATGATACAGAATTAAAAAGAAAAGTGGCTCATTATTATAAACTGTAAATATAAATGGCTGTCGTGAAACATCTTTGGATTTTCTTTTTGGTGGCCATCAGGGTACACATTTAAACTTCACAGACTGAGCTAAAGCGCGGTGCTTTATTCTTTTATCTGATGTCTTTGTCTGCATCTACCTGCAATCTTGTTTTTCTCCTTCTGCAAAGAAAGATCAATGTGTTTGAGTTAAAACTGGGGGATAGTGCTAAACGGAGGACGCCAGGCATTGATGTTCTGCAGGCTCGTCACTCAGTCACAGTCGGGCCCGTCCGGGGAGATAAGACCCGTGGCCTGCTTAGGCTGATCAATGGCAGGATCCATAAAGACGCTCTCCCTCACGATTCACCCTCGTTTGTCCTTTTTGTCAACTTGTTTTCTTCTGCTGTCAGTACTTTGTGCGTAGGATCATACTCTGTAATTGTCATACTTAAGAGAACGGGAACATAATAATTAACGAACAAAAAGAAAGAACAATCAATTTGTCTCTACAACGAAACAGCTGTTTGTCTGTTGAAACTTGTACAGTTGTTAATTGTTGGATGGTTTGCCTTCTTAATTTTAGAACATGCAATTGGGCGTGCTATTATCATATAAAAACATTAAGAAAGCTTAGCTGTCCTTATAAGTATGCTCCTCCCCTTTCTCTGAGCACCACGGCCAAGGTTAATGCTTTCATAAAACATAGTGTAGTGCATTAAGAATTGCTACACCATTATCACATATAATAATCCGTTGTTTTTCATTCCACCCCCTCCCACAACCCTCCCTCTGTCCTCAGCTAAGGTCAAGTCAAAGTGCGCCCCTACATTCTTCGCCTGCGCTAACGGTGTCCACTGTATCATCGGGCGCTTCCGCTGTAACGGCTTCAGTGACTGTCCTGACGGGAGTGACGAGGAGAACTGCAGTAAGTCTCATACAACAACTTATTCAAATAAATGTAATCTGTCTCATCCCAATGCTACCAGAATCTGCTCCATGATGAACTCCCCCCCACTCATAATATGCATCTGTAGTTATACGACTATTGCTGGCTTGAGTACTACAGTACTAATACAAACTTTACATAAGTGCAGTTATTTCTTTAAAATCTGAGAAAAGCAATTTATGCACCACGTATTATAAATACCATAATAATGTTTTAGTCTTTTCTCTGGCTCTGATGGAGCTTTTTCAACTCTAAAGAAAAATAAAAATCGGATTATTATAGTGTTATAATAAGGGTGTTCACAATTTGGGTTTGGAGATTATACTAGTATAACAGAAATCCTGTATTATGAACAGGGGTGTGGAGTTTGAAAGATGTGTTAACCAGGCAGCAGTGATATGTCTAAAAAAGATGCGATCGGATTCATTATTTGAGATTAAGTACCAACTGTTTTTGGAATTTGGCCGACATGAAGTACCATAACAATGTGGAAGAGCAATTAAACAGCTGGAGTACCCCTTTTAATACGCTTTATCAATGAATTACGAGTAAACAACTGACTTAAACAAATATATGTTGTAAAGGGCAAAGACAGCCAACAAATAACAGTATGCAAATTAAGATCTCAGTTCATCTTTCACATTTTCTTTTCCTCTCTTCTTCCCCTTAGTTTAGAGAAACTAAACTGACACCCCAGTCTCAGTCTTTGAAAGTCTAACTATATTATATCTTTGTTTCCCAAGAGACACAACACAAACACAATCATGGACCTGTTGCCTTTTATACATTTGGTTATGGGGCAGGTGTGATCAGAGATTGTCACTACCATGTTACTTTTGCTTTACATTCATTTTCGTAATGCCAGCTCAGTATTACAGCATTGCTTTAGAAAACTTGAAGCAGTTTTCTTTATGTCCCTCCTCACAGTGGAGAATCGAGGACGTCGTTCTATTAAGAAAGCAATTTCTGTACTATTGCTGTCCCCCCCCCAGTCACTATCAAATTCTGCATTTTGAGCAGATTATAATAGTAGTGACATGAATAAATGCCGGATATAGCGATTCAATTACCTTTTAAAAATAGTTTCAATCGTTTTTATGTGTTGCCAGTGCTTGTAACTCCTGACTCATCTGTAGTTTTGCCTTTAGTTGAAATATGAGCAAAAGAAGATCCAGGTGTAGTCTGTATTATCCAGCATGCAGTTTGTCCCTACATGACCCAATCTCTGCTTTCCCAGTGGGGAACGTGCATCAAGCCGATCACTCACCATCGTCAGAGGCAGTGTTCCTTGCCTGCAGGGCACCACGCTCACAAATGTAATCTAAGCATTTAAATGGAGGTTTGCTCCACTCTCTCAGCACATACTGCATCACTACTGTGTCATTTTCTGGATCTTCACACAAGATAATTCTACCTCATTTTGCTGAAGCTAAACTCAAAACCAGAACATGTACCACAAAATAAGTAATAATGCTGGCAGTGATATTTTAATATTTCTTGTTTTCAGTTTGACTTTTATACCCAGATCAAATGCTTTACTGCTTTCCCTCTAAACATTTGTTATGATGAGTTGCCTCGCTTAAGATCCTGATTGAAATGAAATGCCCAATATTTTATCTTCAATTGAATTACCGTAATTTTCGGACTATAAGCCGCGCCTTTTTTCCCATTTTTCGACCCTGCGGCTTATATAACGGTGCGGCTAATCTATGGATTTTTACAGCTAACGGCCACTAGGGGACCTCCTAAATCTATGGATTTTACAGGTTACAGTCCACCACCTTTAACTCTATGGGCTCTATGGCCGGTCCGCGCCCCCCACCTTTAAGCGGCGGGCTCCAGCAGGAAAAGCTGGAGGCCGGAAAAGAGTGAGACAGGTAGCGCGCAAAAGTAAAAGTGGAACCGGGAGTGGCACGAGAGACAGAACGAGAGCAAGACAGACAGAAATTACGAGAGCGAGACAGTTTGTCCCCGTACCACTGGTTGAAAACCACTGCTGTAGATCACTGCCGGTACGTGCGCTGGGAGCGCACCGTTTAAGTTTGAAAGTTGAACAGTTTGTGTGTCTGAAACGCTATGTGATACAGTACAGTTTACACAGCACAGTACATCTTCTGTAGCTACTATTGCACTAAATGGTAACACTTGAATACGTTATGCAAACTGCAACTTGTTTGTTGAAATGTTAATAAATGGGAGCTTCCTCAAACAGCCATCTCTTTCCCGACAATCCCCTCTGTGCACGAACCCTTACATATGGTAATTAAACATTAAAACACCTGCGGCTTATAGTCCAGTGCGGCTTATATATGTACACATCATTCAATTTAGCTGCTGCGGCTTATATTCAGGTGCGCCTTATAGTCCGAAAATTACGGTAAATGAAAGTGTTGAAAATGGTAAACAAAACAAGATCTAAAAACTGCACCACTACAGACGTCACACAGTGGCTTGTGTTTCACAGGCAACTTGAAACCTCTCACTGTAACCCTGTCTGAACTAACACTTGAACCTGACCTCTGCCCTGCCTCCACCACAGCGGGCTCTGAGTGCTCGGGGACTCGCTTCAAGTGTCGGAATGGCCACTGTGTGGACCGCAGCTTCTTGTGCAATGGCCAGGACAACTGTCAGGACAACAGCGATGAGGAGCTCTGCCTAACTACAGCGGGTGTGTCACGATCTGCCTGTGTTGTGTTTTGTCTTGTCTTTTTCTGTCTTTGGTTTCATGTTTTATTTTGAAAAGTCTTCACCACCTGTCTTGCATGTCGCTTTCTGTCTGTTTTCCCTCCTACCTGATTGCCCGATTGTGTTCACCTGGTGCCCCTGTGTTTTCTCCTCCCTCCTCACCTGTGTCTTGTTTGTGTGATTAGTCTTGTGTGTATTTAAGTTCTGGTTTTTCTGTCTGTCATTGTTGGTTCATTGTTTGTCTTTGACTGTGTTCTCGGGTTAGTGTTCTGTTTGTTCCTTAAAGACCTTGAAATAAAGGTATTTTTTCTGTTTATTCTGCATGTTGGTCCTGCCTGCTTCACTCAACCCTAACAGGGTGAGTCATCAGTCAAATATATTAGATGAAAAAAACAAGGAAATAAAACATCTATTCTGGCTGTGGGAATCTGACACAGGGGCAGGGAGACGTTGAGGATGTTTAGCATGTTTGTCCCCATGTTTAGGAGCAGAGACTTGCCCCCTCATAATCCTTTAACTCACACATGTCAAACTGTTTTTACTGAGGGTTTGTTTGGATAACTGACACCCTTCACCAACAGTGTAATACGCAGAAAAAAAAGCAACAGGTGATAGAATACCAAGAAACTAAATGATTAACTTATACATTTAAAAGAGAAAGTATTATACAATTCATCTCTATATTCACTCATTTTATTTTCGTCCTTCAATCCCTAAACAAAAACACAATCAAGAACAATTTAGAGATGAGGCTAGTTGTTAACTTTTACGTTCATCAATCTGGATTTATTTCAATTAGGCCATAATTGTTGGAAATATTGGCAGGGAACTTTGCAGCATATTTCAGAACTTGTAGATACATAAAGTGGATAAATGATGGAGGATGATTTGGAAGATTGTGTCACTCAATTTGTCACATCATCTGATATTTCTCAGAACATCACTTACGAGAGGTTTTATGCAGCTGATTCATAAAGCCACTGACATATTCAACTTTATGCCAAAGAAGACATGCGCTGCTGTGTGCATTTCCTACGTTCTTAACAAACAAAAATAAGCAAAAGCACTTGTTGTAATACCTAATGATATTGTTGACATTGTAGTCACATCCCTGACATTGAGTATTATGATTTCTGGTTTAGAGTGTCTTATTCGCTGGCAGGTACCACTTTCATCTGGCATGCCATTCTTATTCCACTGGCAGCTCCGCTCCTCACAGACAGCTGCTGCCACGGTGGCACAGCAGTCGACTTCTGTCAACACTTCAGCTGAGCTTCCAGTGGCAATCCAACATGGATTCTGCCAGCAGTCCAACCCTGATGTTAAAATAATTCCTATGTATCCCCATCCTATGTCTAGGTGATGCTGTCATATTGATTTACTCAGTCAGAATAAAACAGAAAGTCCTTCAGTATCAGTAGCCAAAAAGACAGTTTTGTTATTACCAGACCTTATTTCCCGGAAAGAATAAAAACGCATTTTTTTCTGATAAAGAGGGAAAGAGCTATGCAGCAGTAAGACATTACACTTGAGAATATGAACACTGTAAATCATGTTGGCAATTTTAAACACCATTCATTCTCTAAAATAGAAATCACAGTTCATTTTTTTCCCGGCCGTGAAAAATGGCTCTGATCCGACACTATTGACGAACTGCAAAATGTGTAATCATGCAAGAGATCATTTTCTTGCTCGTTGTAATTTAGCAACCTGATGTATTACCTCACAGTTGACTAACTCATTTTTATCAATCAATTTTGTTTTAAACTCCCTAATTAGTGAAGCTGATTAAGCATTTATTTATTTATTTGCACTTGTATGTGTTTGCAAGATAGACTATCCATCATCACAAGCCTGTCGTTTCTCAAACTCCTGACTCAATGCAGAGCAACAGAATGCTGAAAAGACCTGGAGAGTGATGCAGAAATATTGATCTGTGTTCACTGCACTCCATGTTATTGTTGAAAAGTGAACAACTCTGGTGCACTCTTCACAACAAATACTGTTCGAACTGCTCACTGCAAAAAACCTAGTATGAACAAATGTTTTGCCCGGATTAAACAATTAGGAATCAAGGTCAGACATAACATTCAGTAATATAATTACTCAGAAGATACTGTATATGTTGTCAGAAGGTTTAAGTCTCGGTGAAGATCTAAGGGGTGCTTTGTGATCCATACCTTCCCAACTCCTGACTTCAATTATTAGACTCCATTCCCTACAGAAAGAAAGTGTTCTGCTAAGGTTGACTGAGAGGATCAGTCTGCCACCATCTCTAAAACATTTTCATCCATCTAATCTTTTTCTTATCGTATAAATGCTGAATGTTTTTTCAATTCAGCTACCACAGAAATGTACCAGTTCCAGAGTGTTGTTTTATTCCCAAAGACTCCTTGTCAGCACTGATTTAATAGTATTTTCTGTATGCATAGAGCACAAATGACCCAAATGTTTCCTGCTTATTTGACTTGTGTAGCGCTGCATAAAGAACAAGAGCTCCGAGTTGTTCTGACCTTCAGAACCCAGCAAGGAAGATCAGCTCAGTTATTATTTCCCTTTTAGTTTTTTCGTCTATTTATTTTTTATCATCAGCCACTGCGATTTGGAGGGAGTGAAGGCTTCACTGCTGTTTAACTCTATGCGTTTCTTTCCTGTGTTAACTCGCGCGCACACACACACACACACACACACACACACACACACACACACACACACACACACACACACACACCGTATACTCACCTTACATTCTGCGCTGACTTTGCCTCTCTATAATAAGCACAGACCTGCAGGTGACAGATAAGGCATACAATATCTGCTCTAAGCCACCTGAGCACAGCATCTCCTTCCTCACTTTCTCCCCTCTCACTCCTCCTCTGTTCAGCTCCTTCCTCTTTACCCATAATTATTTGCTTCAGTGTCTCCACATGCGTTTCCTTCATTTGAGTAGTCTAGTGAGAGATCAGCATGCAGCCTGTCAGCGGACACATCATCACGGCATATATACAGGAGCGTTTGGTTATCCTTCCTCAGAGGTGGCAGATAATGAGATCTATAGAAGCAGCACTATCCTCTTAGCTTTCTATGCCTCTGGTGTTTTTATTCCTCATCAGTGATTTCAAACTATTTGGCACAGTTAGACACAAACATCAGCTTAGAGCTGCTTTTACTGTTTATCTGTCATAGGCCTGTGCCCATTCCCAGCAGGCCCATGGGCTCCTCTAGCAGCCGCACTCATCCACCGGCTTACAGTGGTGGTCTGCGGAGGTCCCAGCGGCCCACTCAACCGCCTCCCAATGACTTTCGTGCCCCCGTTCGCCGGCCTTCTAGGCAGCCTCGTGCCTCAGAGCCTTACCGGCGCCCCCCAAGGGGCTCCGGAGGCCGGGGAGCTAGGCCCTGAAGTCCCGGTGCCGGACGCCGGCTGCTTTTCCCAGCAGCAGCTCAGCTACTGGGCTGCCTGTACTTCCGACCCTTGGGTGGTTCCACCCTAACCCGGAGTTACGAATTGCAGTTCCGACGCCGGCCCCTAGCCTTTGGCCGGTTCAAAATAACAGTCAGCGATCCGGCGAAGGCCTTAGCTCTGGCCAAAGAGTTGTCCGTCCTCTTGGCCAAGGGCGCATTCGAGCCAGTAGACCCTCTGCTTCAGTCCAGGGGGTTCTACTCGGCATACTTTCTTGTGAGCATGAATGTCGGCTGATTCCGTCCAGTCTTGGACCTCAGAGGAATCAACAGATTCCTGAAGGTGCTGCCCTTCCATATGCTAACCACGGCAGACACCCTTCGTGTTGTCGCACAGGGGGAGTGGTTCGCAACCGTGCACTTGAGGATGCAATTGCATCCCACCACCGGAAGTTTTTGAGGTTTGCTTTTCAGGGCCGACACTATCAGTTCCGGGTGCTTTCCTTTGGTCTCTCCCTCTCTCCAAGGGTGTTCACCAGCCTCTTATCTCACGTAGCAAGAGGGTGCCTTACATTCAGTTCCTCTGGCTCTTGGGCAGACTGACAGCGGCCTCAGCCATTGTGCCCTTAGGCCTGCTGTCGCTGCGCCCCATGCAGATGTGGCTGAACAGCCTTGACTTGGACACCAAGTGGCACAGGAGAGTCAGGGTGTCTCAGCAGTGCCTCCACTCTCTGTCCCGCTGGAGGGACAGAGCAGGACAGGGCAGGACTGTTCAGGGTCAGTGGTCTGCCCAGGAAGGTGCACGCTATATCAACGTGCCTTCTGAATAGTGGACGTTCTCACTCCACTTTGAAGGTTAATGTGGTTGCTATCTCTGCCCGACATGTTGGAGTCGACGGCGCCACGGTGGGGCACCACGGTGGGGCGCCACAGGATGGTGTCCCTCTTCCTGAGATGGGTTTACGGCAGCGTCCCCCTAGCACCCAGAGGGCTCCGGCTTGGGACCTGCCCCTAGTGCTGGATTCCCTATCATCTCCTCCTTTCGAGCCCCTGGCCCAGATGGGGCTTAAGTGGCTGTCCTTGATGGCAGCATTTCTGCTTTCCATAACCTCAGGGAAGCGAGTTGGAGAGCTACATGCCCTCTCCGTGAGCGATACATGCCTGAGGTTGAACTCCGATGGCTCGGGTGTTGCCCTCTGGCCGAATGTGGTGTTCCTGCCCAAGGTGCTTCCACTAGCCCACTCCAATCAGCCTATCCAGCTGGCACGCTTTAACATTCCACAGGAGAGCGGCACGCCTGAGTTGCTGTGCCCTGTGTGTGCCCTAAGGGCGTATATTGATGTTACGGCCTGTATACGGCAGTCAGAGCAGCTCTTTGTTTGCCATGGCGGCACTAGGAAGGGTCGTGCTCTCTCTAAGCAACGGCTGTCCCACTGGGTTGTTAATGCCGTCTCGCATGCCTATGAGGCCAGTGGCCACCCCCCGCCATCAGGGGTGAGATGCCACTCTACGAGGAGCATCTCAACATCTTGGGCTGCCCTGAGAGGGGTGCCGCTGGGGACCATCTGCGCCGCACATTCTCCAGGTTCTACCGGGTCAATGTCGCCACTCCCCACCCTTTGGGCGTTGTCCTCTTGCCAAGCTCCGTTGCTTCCAGCTAGTTAAGTAAGTGCTTCGATTCTTCATGACATTGTTGATATAAGTCATCCAGTGCTAAAGCACCGCCTGTCTGTAAAGGGAGTATCCTGTC